TGATTTCGCAGTTACGGGGATTTCGCCCTCCATTTTGCATTTTTTTTTATTTTATTTAAACTACAAAAACAAATTAATCGCCCTGACTGCGCCAGTCTAGCTTATACTATACATGTCGATGCAGTGATGTAGTGTCATTTTCAATTCATTTGCATGTGAATATAGAGGAGGTCGTTCACCCCTATATCGAACACTGACTGAGCTTAACTGTTTGACCATTGTACCCAAGTAAACCAGCATTACTGCACATTTAACACACCTATTTACAAGACTACTTAGGCTGTCGATAGTCGGTCGTACCTAATAATAATATGTTATTATTAATACATATTGTGTATAAACGTAATAGACGTGAATATATCGAACGCCGGGACAGGAAGTATGGAGTGCCGTTAGGCACGACCGACGGTTCGGTGCTGCAATTCACTGGTAAGATTTATTACCAGATCCGGGTACATATGCAAATGAGGTCGCGCAGATGTCTATATCATTTTATCGTGGCCAATCGTGAAAAGGGTCAGAGTCGGCTACGAGGATCACCCACGACTCACGCGAAGTTTGTATTGACTATACTACAGTATACGTAATTGCAACACTTTCCACAGCAGTTTTTGATCTCATGTCACAAACAAATCCTTGACGTGGACAACCAACGCATTCAGGGGGTCATTTGGAATAAATTTGCATGCATTATGTTAATATAATCTATATAATAATATAATATAATCTAAGTCTGCATCAACTATGAATTATTTATATCAACTAGAAACCTGCAGACGGGGACAGTCTCTCGGGACTAAAGAACCTCGCGTGAAATGGTTCGCATTTCCTTCGGCGTTCGAATATCTAGGAAACTCAATTACATTAGGCCCGAGGACTGCCGACAGTCTAAAGACTAATAAACATGTTTTTTTCAAAATCTTTGAAAAGATATGAAGAATAGCTGAACGATTTTGACTTTTAACACCGATATAGAGTCGCCTTTATGAAGAGGAAATACACTTACCATTTTATAAAATAGCGACAGCGGATGAATCGGATGCACGTGTAAAACCAATAACAATTTCTTCTGTTAGACGACGAGGGCGCTTCACCCATGGTACACACACAATTATGGTAAATATGGGTAGTACCCATTGGCACAACAACAAAATATGGCGTCTCAATGCGGAAATTGAACTATATTTAGACAGAGCAACGTTTATACTGAGTTGGTTTTTAATGTGTCTATATGGATACCCACCTCTCTTTTGTTCGGCAGCAAGTATATGACCATGGATATTGTAATCAAGCTCTGCATTGCTCTGTCGTTCATTGTGATATTGAAATGTAAATATTGACAGTGTGTACAGATGATATTGAAATGTAAATATTGACAGTGTGTACAGATAAAAGTTGTTGCTACTCAACCACCAGATACACTGTGCCATTGTGATTGTATCTTCGGCTTTGTACATGCCAACACGACATAACATGACACGACTTGGTCACGAGGTTGTTCCTATGTAAATTGCCAAGTTTAATACTGGTCTGTATGACAGATACCGATTTGAACTTTAACTGTCTGTCACGTTGGTGGTATATCATTAGGTCGGTATGTACAAAGGCGACATTTTCACCATTTAGGTTGGCAATATATCATTGGTAATATAACAACAAATGACAGAGGAGTTGTAAAAAAGACATGGGTTTAACTGGTTTCACACCCACCAAACACTACTTTATGTGTAATAAATTACACCAATATTTCGGTGAAATATCCGAATACCTTGGTAAGAAAGCCAGTATCACAATTAACTTCAAAATGTTATTCTCCATATTTCTTTATTCACCGCATGTTACGCAGGTAGTCGTGTGATGTTTGTTATGTTTGAACAGCTGGACACGTTTGACGACCCCAACAACGATTCGGAGATAGATCACTATGTAAACACACTCGGAGCATAACAGTAAACAAGACTAACACATTAATACTTTCATTAGAAACAATCAGGGGTATTTCTAGTTCATATTCACGGTGGTGATTTTTTAAATTGCCAATACAATTGTCATTCTTCGTTGAATTACAAACTGTGTAAATGTTTGTAAAGATTAGAGAGCGCACCTGTTTCAGCTCGTCAACATCACGTGA